CACAAACTGCTCTTTTTTAAGGACAGCTCTGACAGGACTATGGCTTGTCCAAGGTCATCCAGCAGCTGCAAGTGGAGGAGTGGGGAATCAAACCCGGTTCTCCCAGATTAGAGTCCGCTCACTTAACCACTACACCAAACTGGTTGATGTTCAACTAATAGTTTTATTGAAACTGATATAATAGCAGAGCATATATACAAAAGTACTTCCTTTTATCCGTTCTAACCCGACTGCTCAGCAATTTGAGTGCCCTCGAGTTCTTGTATTGTGAGAAAGGGGGGAAAGTACTTCTTTCTCTACCTGCTCTATCCCATGCATAATCTTTTTCTTTTTTTTTGAGCCCCCAAAGGGGATTTTTTTCATTGATTTTTTTAACACTACAAAAAACTACAACAGAAAAGGGGGAGGGGAAAACTACATATAAGGGAGAAAGTAAAGAACCCACTACTGACTAAAAACCCAAGAGAGGAGATCCTCTAACTAGCTTTTTTTTTAAGCATCCAAACTTAGCATCTTTGTACTTCTTATGAACTGTGTCATTCTTTTAGAACTTTTAACCCTCCCCATTTACATTTAATTGCCCAATAACAGTGCCCCCCATCATCCCCTGGAACCAAAGTTCTCAAAGGCACAATTCAGAGTCCTTCAGCCTTTACTTCTTCTTCTCTCTTTTCCGCAGTTTGTAGGGACTTTTCGGGGCTGCTGCCCCCTGCTCAGACAAATAGCCATTTGTATCCAATTGAATTTGTTTGGAGGAAGAGCACAAGTTCTTTGTATTTCTTTCTCCATTGCCTTACTTCAAATGGAATATCCTTTAGCGTTCTGACCGCATTCTCCCCCACCTTCAGGGGTGTCACAGCCACTGCTTTCAGGATAGCATCCCTGATGTGCCTCTTCGAGAATCTTACTACAATTTCCCCAGGCAGATTATTTTTCTTTATATATCCTGAATATGACCTGTAGGCCACATCCATGTCGTTGAGTAACAATTCCGCCTTTATATCTGTTGCTGGGGCGAGTAGCTCACTCATCAGTTCTTTAAGATTCTCTCCTCTATTCTCTGGCACCCCTTGGAAGCACAGGACCATGTGGCCTTATCCATTTGCACTTGCAGCATCTGATCTTCCAAAGAAACAGTTTTCTTTTCCAATTTTTGCACTTTCTTCCTCACTTTCTGTGTTGTCTCAGCCATTTCCTTTACTTTCTCCGCATCCTGCTTCATTACTTGGATCAAGTCCGTTATTTGCGTTTGTTGAGCAGTGATGCTTGTTGTTACAACTGCAAGCTGCTTTTGCTGCGCTGTTATATTCGCTGTTACCACCGACATCTGCTCTTTAAAGACATTGAGCTGTTCCAGTAGAGGGCGCATGACCTCAGCCATCGCCTTGGTCGTCTCACTGGTCGTTTCCGGTCTCGGGGACTCTGGTTTCGTTTTTAAAAGTTTCTCTTTGTCTCTGTCCCTCTTCCCCACCATCTTTTCCCTGTTTGTTTACTTTCACAAAAACTTTTTAGTCTCTGAATATGCGCTTAACTGTATAGCTCGATTGGGTGAGTACTTCTGGGCAATCACACGTTTATTCTTCCGCTCCCCCCTCCCTTTCGCTCAGTGATTTACGCATGGGAGGCGTCCCTCCCCTGCTCGCTTCTGCCGTTCTGCTGCGTGGGTAGGGAGCGTCTTTTCTTTTACAGATTGTATCTCAGTTGACTCACATTCATAGTTGGTCTTCCGACCCCACTACATTCATCATTTCTGACGCCTGATCTCCTACGCTTGACCCGGCTAGCTTCACTTGTACCATTCGCTCTCTCGGCTGGATGAACCACTGGAGCAAGGGGGAGCCTCGATCCTCTGGCATTCAGCCATCGAAGAGGCTCCCCCCCCCCAAGCTCCTTGGCCAGGGACCCTTCGCCGGGCCCCTGGGGGGGTTAACGAGCCTGCTCACTCCCTCCCTCCACCAGAGCACGGAGACACCCCCGGGAGGTCCGGGAGGTGAGTCCGTGAGCGTGCCTCCATCAACTGGAAGTCCCCCATGCATAATCTTATAAACCTCGATCATTACACCCCTCAGCCATCATTTCTCCAAGCTAAAGAGCCCCAAGCGCTTTAACCTTTCTTCATAGGGAAAGTGTTCCAACCCTTTGACCATTCTAGTTGCCCTTTTCTGCACTTTTTCCAATGCTATATCATCCTACGAATGTGGCGGTTAAAGGGCACCTCATAGCCTTCCGTACAGTGGACTTTTGTGCCTTCACTCTTCCCTCTTTCCCCCTTTGCGTTGTGCGTCTGAGGCCAGGGGGACAGCAGGGAGATATATCAACATTGCGGTGCACTAACCCGAAACCTGCTTCCATATGTGGCCGAGACGAGGCATTATCGAGCCACTGCGTGATGTCAACAGTGTCACTATAAGCTGCAGTGCAGTTGCCATGCTCTCAGCTCCTTGGGAGTTGGGGCCTTTTTGTAATTTGAACACACACGAAGCTGCCTTATACGGAATCATCAGACCCGTGGTCCAGCAAGGGCAGTACTGTCTACTCAGGAGACTGGCAGTGGCTCTCCAGGGTTTTTTACTTCACCAACCGCCTGGTCCTTTTAACTGGAGATGTCAGAGATTAAACCTGGACCTTCTGCATGCCCTCCACTCAGAGTGGCTCACAATCTCCTTCCCTTCCCCCCCCCCCAACAGACACCCTGTGAGGTAGGTGGGGCTGAGACAGTGCTGAGAGAACTGCTCTTGATATAACAGCTCTGAGAACTTGTGACTGACCTAAGGTCACCCAGCTGGCTTCATGTGGAGGATTGGGGAACCAAACCTGGTTCTCCAGATCAGAGTCCGCTGCTCTTAACCACGATAACAAACTCGCTTTTTCACTGAGCCCCAACCTCTTAAGAGCATAGCTGTCTATGGGGGGGGGGGGCTCTGCCCCTGCAAGAGTTGATATGCCAGGGATAAACAGTGGGGTCACAATTCAGCCCCGATGTTGCGGTCGGTTTTTTTTTTACAGATCATGCTGAAATGGGGAGGAGTGAGGGCATCATAAAGCGGCAAAAGGAATTCCAGAGCACGCCACGGCGGCTCTCAAACCTTGCTGAACCTTCATGGAATTTATCCCACAGTATTGTCATCTTTGACGTCAAGTGCTCCAAATTTCAGTCCAATGCTCCTTCTAAACTGTGGAGACTTGTGAGCAAAAATTCTACTTAGTGAGCTACTGGCATTAAAGTTGTGAGCAGGTGATTTAGCCACTGCATAAATTAGTTTTCTTTGAAGCCATCTTTCCTAAGCAAAGACAAAAACGTGTGAGCCGGACGCTAAAAAACTGTGAGCTAGCTCACACTAACTCAGCTTAGGGGGAACACCTCCTAGGACCCCAATTACAACCGTTTTCTCTTATTTTGGGCAAGTCAGCATGAAGTTCTTCCCTAACACTGTGTCACACGTCAGCTAACAAGCACATGACAAATGAGGAAACTGTTTTCTTTTTATTTTATTTTTTTAAAATTAAAAAATGCAAGTGAGGATTAAGAATAAACTGGGGGGCTGTGCATTCATTTCCAACCCAACCCAACAAAGAAAAGCATTAGACAGAGAATGCAGGATGACGTTAAAGAGCTTACTTCCAACATACCACAAGAACCTGCTTTGCGAACTTTGCACAGTTCTTCTATGCACCCCGTTTGAGATGAATGGGAAGCTTCCAGGAGTTCCCGGGCACTTTATTTCACAAGACTTGTTCAGGAAAATGTTTCAGATGACTGTGCCCTTGCGGAGATGTCGTGGGAAGCTGCAGGACTTAACGCCTAATGAATTAATATTTCACCAAAGCTGAACGGCATCAGGTTGCACAAGCAGCTCTGTCTTGCCTTGCTTCCATTAAGAAACACCAACACCTAGAATTTCTGTAAACCACTCAAAATGCCTTAAATTTACAAAGCACGAACACTTTCCTCAAGATGTTTTAACACTTAATGCATAAAGAATTTATCTGTCTTAGACCCTGACCATATATTCCTGCTTTCCAAACAGTACTTGTATGGACAAGACTAAAATCACTTCGTTCAGACTTACACATGGGCTTCCCATGTATCAACCAATCAGCCTCTAAGAATTGTTCACTGCAACCCTACCTTCTGAAATAAGATGTGTGGCAACCAGAAACAGGATTTTGCAGTGACAGCGCCTCAGCTGTAGAACCCCCTCTATACAAGACTTTCTCCTGGTGACCGGTGTTCCCTCTAAGCTGAGTTAGTGTGAGCTAGCTCACAGTTTTTTAACCTCCGGCTCACACATTTTTATCTTAGCTCAGGAAGGATGGCTCCAGAGCAAACTAATTTATGCAGTAGCCAAATTGCTCGCTCACAACTTCAGTGCCAGATTGGTAGCTCACAAAGTACAATTTTTGCTCACAAGACACCACAGCTTAGAGGGTGCATTGCTGGTGACTAATCTTCTTAAGTTTTAGGGTCCATTTTTTATCTGGCCATGCTTTTTCTTACCAATGTATCTGTGGATGACCCCTGGCTGAGACCGCTTTACTGCTTAAGCTGTTGTAAAAATATATACACATATTAATTCTATTGTAACTACTCTGTGTTTGAAATAGTTCCTTCCTTCGTTTATGAAATGGGGCATAGCTTCTCACACTCTTTTTGAGCCTAAGCAAGAAAGGCTTTACAGCGAATAAAATCCTGATGTTTCATTAATATCACTGTACTTTTAAAATGACTTAAAATGCTGTACAATGGTTTCACTGTCAGCAGTTTGGGGCATATTTTATGAAGAAGCTGCAACACACACCACACTCTGCCTTCTGCCTATTTGTAGCTTACGTGGGTTTCTTCTGCAGGGCTGTGACACCTTCACAAGCAGACCTGTGTATACAGTCAAGTGGAGATGACCTGTAGAAACATGAACTGGGATCGTTCTTCTCTGCTGCACCCCCAAACACATCTGGATGGCAAAATACCAATACATCAAAACACGCCATGGTGTCAGGAAAACCAGTTTTTATTAAAAACATATGAGTTGAGAGATATATATCATAGGAAAAAATTATTTCAAATATACAGATACTATTGTCCAATTAGCCATTAAAGGAGAAAGAGAATGAAAACTGCAGTGAATAATTTCAAATCCCACCCCCTCCCTCCTCTCTTCCCCCCCAGCAGGGGGGGGAGAGACAGAACCAACCCCCTGACAACCTGAACTACCGTAGGCATGGTTTTTCTCCTCCTTCAATCAAGGCCAAGATGTATCGAGGGGCAGTAAAATTCGGTTTTTAACTCAGAAAGGCAGATATACTTTGCAAATTCCTGTTGATTTCGTTTAATTTAAAAAACAAACAAACAAAAGAACAATCATAAGTCACGTGTCCAGCATCTGATCCTCCAATTCGGTCTTTAAAATAACATAAGCCATGGTGAAGACATTTTCATTGCTTCATGTCAAAATCCCAGGAATTCTGAACAAAGTAGATATTTCTATCTAAAAGTACAAAAAAATGGGGGGGGGGGAGAGAAGTGAAGGGGGGGCAGGGGTGAGGAAAGGTGTATAGAAGGTACTTCTCTTATACAGTTATATTACACAGCCCAGAGCCGTTCCAGCAAACTCTTCGCAATCCTGGATGCCTTTGACTAGAGAGAGCGAAAGGAGGAAACAAAACGGCAAAGGTTGAAGTTACAACGAGCTGGACATCCTGCAAAAATAATTACTACTCTGACGGGTCCTGCATTGTATTGGTGACGTTTGTTTTAACTATCTGTTTTATACACATTTGTGTTTGGTTAATCCAGTGATTCTTAACAACTCTCCCTCCCTCCAGGTAAATCTACAAATCTTGGAAGGCACACAAAACACGAGGCAGAGATATGGGGTATTAGGCCTTTCTCCTCTTTCAATGGCTTCCGAGTGGTGAAGTTGAAACCATTGCACGTATGTTCCTCAGGTGCAAGTTGGTTTGAGCCAAATATATTTTACTCCGGATAAAGGAAATGCCTGACCTGATGGACTCTGTCTATGTCAATTACTTGCTATCAAATGATAATCAGACCATTACCAAACCTGTATCTAAATACTGTGCAGCTTGTTACACTGTATCCGCAAAGAAAAGATTATTTCATCTTTTAAATTTCTTTTAGACCATGGTTTCTAAATTTTAACAAATTATTTATATCTGTTATGTATAATGTTATTGAATTGCTGGCTCGGTGCCGTAACAAATAAAGATTGATTGCTTCTGACAGCCACACAGAAGAGTTGGATTTTATCCTGTTTCCCTCCCAAAGATCTGTAGATTTCTCCCAAAGGTCCATTAAAAAAAAAAACACCACACGGGAAATAAGAATCAAGACTAATACGGAGGACTCAGCTGGTGGCCATCACATACAAGGTTCTCATCTGAACATATGCCTGAGATCCACATTTCGTACATGTATATCATAAATTCCCCTTTATAAAGTTGCCGAGCTGTTTTAAAGTCCTAATTTTTTACTTCTCAATACCACCCACTGCTCCATTTCCTTTATGGCTATTCCTTTTACCCTAATGCCGGTGGCTGTCTACCACGTCGGATCTGGTTCCTGTTTTATTGGAGTGTTTCCTTCAGTCTGCACTGAATCTGCGTGGGCAAAAAAACAAAAAACAAAAACACAACATTATAGATGGATGTCTATAATTAGCCCCAGGACCTGGGGAAAGTGAAGACACAGAGACAGCAGTTCAAAAGTCGGCAAACATGACCATTTGAGGAAAAGGAGGAATGAAGCCCCAACACGGGTTTAATTAAGGGGATTGATTTTCCAGGTGATCACAATTCCGTCTTGGTGACGCACGGGGAACAGCTGCATGAGAGACAGAAGCAGCAGATGGAAAACGAGTTGCTACTTGGAAAAAAAGTACAGAACCAATGGGAAACTACATCACACAGCTTAAGAACAGGGGTGGCCAGATACTCTGTGCCTGTTAACAGTGCGAGCAATGAAGCTACAAATTCTATTTCCTGAAACTGCTTTTCATCACTAAGCCAGAAAGCATTTTTACTGAAGTAGAAACCTTGGTGGTGGTGGCAATACTAATTTGTTCTTGGTTTGGTTCAGCTGGAAGGCACTGTTGCTTTTCTGCCATCAGATATTAGACACTTACCATCCTCCACAGATACTTCTACTATTTGGTCTGGTTCAACTGGATCTAAAAACAGAAAATTAAGGTACATATTATTTCACCAGTTTATAACCAGCTGTAAGTCTGAATGCACTATCTCAGCTCTTCGGGAAGAACACCAAGAGTCACTGAGAGTTACATATCATCTTTCAGCCACAAGGAAAGGCTCTCTTACTGAGCATGGAATTTGGAGTCAGAAAGGGTCATCTTGTTGAACCTCTAGAGCAATGAGAGAGGCAAACATGACAACATGCCCATCCCTTGCCTAAAACACCAGGGGGGGGGGGGAATTCTACAACTCAGTTGCAACCCAGCTCATCCACTTAAGGAAACACTTCCTGACACCCAGCCTGTCTCTGCTACACTTCTAGTTTCACTTGATGCTTCTCATCCCCTTTTTGGCATTTCTGATTTTTTTTTTTTTTAAATAGATCTCTCACCATTAGATAGTTGAAAATTAATAATATTTTTTCCTCTCTTAAATTATTTCCCCTCCAAGGCAGGCCCTGAGTGAAATCTGCAGCCCCCTCCTCAACAATTTGCAGGAACTCTGAATAATCAAGTAATTTCAGTCCTTTCCCCAGCTCTTTCTGGGGACACCCAAGCCCTGCCTAACCCATCCCAGTTGCAGACAGGGATGGGGAAAATGCAATGTTGGCATCCCCGTTCCCGTTGAGAGGACCGTGCTGGAACTGCCATCAGCTGCCAACCCCTGCGTGGCCCATCTGGTGACTCCCTGAAATGTGTGGATTGCTTCCCAGGTGAAAGCCTCGTGTAGCTTGGCCACCCACTTCAATGAGAAAGAGCAAACGTAATGGCAAGAGAAAAGGGAAGAGCAGACCAAGAGAGCGTTGGGACGGGGGAGGGAGAAACAATACAGGTTTTAGAGAGGACAGATAGAGTGGCAATTTGCGAGGTCCCTTTAATTGCACTCTGTCAGGAATCACCAGGGTGAGATGCCTGGGATCCATTAGAAGCTTAGCAGCATATTTGAGCCTGAATACTTATTGAGATCAGTGTCCTATCTAAATGTATTGTAAGTTACTATTATACGTGGGTTCATTTTTAAAATACTTTGTATTTTTTCCATAATAAGAGGAATATTATATTGCAGAACTTTCCTGATTCGTTTGTAAAGCACTTTATGAGCAACAGAGCTTTTGTACTACTCTGTGAGTAAGACTGTATTTGAATTTTATACTTTTTTCTTTTTTGACACTGTACATATTCTAAAGAATTGTATTTTTGTGCACTACAGAATATTTCCTGAGGAAGATCCAATTCTGAAACGTTGTTATGTAATCCGGAGACGACGTTGATGAGGTATTTTCACACTAGGATTTTCTTATGATTTGAAGGGATTTGTCTATTGTGTTGTAGTGCTTGTTGACCATAATATACAGAAAGCATTTTCTTTGCAAGTCTTGTCGACTGCTTGATCTGTGGGTCAGACTCTCACGACTGTTTTCTTTACATTTGTTCTCTGATTAGGTCGTGATTGTCCACATTTGTCTTGTAGCCGTTATGGCTGCAGAAATAAAAACGAGAGAAACTATGATGGTGCCGTGAAAAGACAAGGAACACAGAGGGAAAATGTAGACTCAGGTGGGTAGCTGTGTTGGCCTGAAGCCCAATCAGATTCATAGTGGAGTGTGCCACTATGTCCTGGTCCCACTGGTGGACCTCCTGATGGCACCTGGTATTTTTGGCCACTGTGTGACAGTTGGACTGGATGGGCCTTTGGCCTGATCCAACATTGGCGTCTCTTATGTCCTTATGTGCCAGTTCTTCTGCTGTCTGGCACAAGATGCCTCTGCTAAGCTACCTCCCCCAAAAGGGGCATCTGCTTTCTGGTCAATGACTGTTAACAATTATTCACCCCCCAGCATGTACCTTGCACCACTGGTTCCGAGGCTGGCGCAGCTGCAGCTGGTGCTTCCGGTTCAGCTTTCTCAGCAACTTCTGAAAGAACGAGTAGAGTCAACATGACGGTCTGTAACAACGAGGGTCCCGCAGGACTAAAGCTATTAGTATTTCGGAAAAAACTGAATGAAGTTGTTGCATCGTGCAGCATGTTAGCCAGCCCTGAACAATTTTATGCGGATGTGACAGTGTAAAAGCATTAACACAAAATAGTTTGGGTTTCTCTTTTAGTGTTCCCTTGCATGCCAATTGTTTAGCAGGTTTGGGACCACGTTTTCAAATGCTGCTCAACTAACCAGGAGGGCTGAACTTACAACTGACGCGTCTGTCACTTAAGCAGGGGATACTTAAGCTGATGACCCAAAATGAGGAACAGGCAACAGCCCTTGATAGTAATTACATTCCTGGCGCGTATGGGCTAAGCATGCGACACCACAAACCTCCCAAGACATGCAATCACCATTTCTTCTTCAAGAGGCAATGTGTGAATTTTCTGCCTCAGGACAGGCGTACCAGGCCACAGATTAAATCTGGCTCTGATATGGACGCCCCTTTTAAAAGAAACATCAATAGTTTCCCATGCGTAGTCACAGTACCAGGAACGGCAACCAAGTGTGTCATGTGTGGCATGAATGCCATTGACATTCATAAATGACGGAATAGGGCTCTGGTGGATAAAGAATTTCTGCAGCAGCATTCTCTTATTCTATGACATGCCATTACGGAAGCTCTTTTCCCATGGGACTAAAATGGTACACATTACTAGCAACACACAAAGCTATCACTGTGAACTTCAGAATCACCACTATAAAATACTTACGATTATTCATTACAAGTCCAGGGAATGGTCTGTTGGAAAGAGAGGGGTGGGGGGAGAAAGAAACATAATGGAACACTTCAATCCTAAAAGGTATTTTGCATACATTCCAGAGACTTGACATATGGACATTAAAATTATGCACAAACCACATTGACTAGGTGTCAAGGAAAATTAACAAAGCCACCTTTTAAAAAATAAAAATGAAACAATCTTTGGTAGGTTTGTATGTGTATCTGTTTCTAAGGGACGAACATACACTGAAAGTCTGCAGACTAGAAGCCCAGAGCTCAGGCTTGTCAGAGACCCATGCCAAATGCAAGCTGCCTGTCATATGCCAGTCTCACCCTTACAGATTTATGAAAATATTTATTTAGTATTTATTTATTATTTGCATTTATATCCCGCCCATCCCGTGAGCGGGCTCAGGGCGGGTAACATCATTATAATAAATACAATTTCTGTTTAAAACACGATAAAACATTAGAACAATTAAAACAATGGGTGCAGCCTGAACCAGCGTCAGTTGGCTATAAAGTTCTGGCCCGATGGTGCAGTGAGTTAAAGGCCAGTTGTCAGTGGTCAGTAAACAGACAGGTGACAGCAACCTCAGGGAGGCCATATATGGGTGCCCATTGCCTTAACCAATGGCCTGGCAGAACAGCTCCATCTTGCAGGCCCTGAGGAATGGAAGGAGATCCCGCAGGGCCCTGGTCTCAATAGGGAGCATGCTCCACCAGGCAGGGGCCAGGAGAGAGAAAGCCCTGGCCCTGGTTGAGGCAAGACGGACATCCTTCGGGCCAGGGACCACCAGGAGGTGTTGATCTTTCGAGCGTAATGCTCTTTGAGGCATATATGGGAAGAGTCGGTCCCTTAGATATGTTGGTCCCAGGCCATATAAGGCTTTAAAGGTCGAAAACAGCACCCTGAAGCGAATCCGGTACTCAGCTGGCAACCAATGCAGTCGGCGGAGCGTGTGCCTAACGTGAGGCCACACAGGTGTTGACGTCAGCAGGCGCACCGCCGCATTCTGCACCAGTTGTAATTTCCAGATCAGCCTCAAGGGTAAGCCTGCGCGGAGCGAGCTGCACTAATCAAATCCGGAAGTGACCATTGCATGGGTCACCGTCACTAGGTCTTGGGCGGAAAGATGGGGCTTCTGTAGCCTAATCTGCCCAAGATGGGAAAACGCAGATCTGGCAAGTGCAGCAACCTGGGCCTCCGTGGAAAGAGAGGCATCCAGTGTCACTCCCAGACTCCTCACTGTCTGGGCTGGCATCAAAGGCGACCCTTCCAGTGTGGGGGGCCTGGCGCCCACATCCAACCCCCCTCAACCCAGGTACAGGACCTCTGCCTTCAATGGATTTAACTTCAACGGACTCTAAAGGTGGAGGGAACATTGTTCATGCTCATGTCTTACAGCCATCGGTAGGCCTCCAGTCCATTCTCTTTCACTGTGCCTACAGATGACCGGCGCAGAGGCTATGTTAGGGCAGCTTGAGATTTCAAGAGGACACAGGTGCTCTTTCCTGGGTCACTGGCCTTTGCTATGTCTTAATTACTACTGGGGAAAAACATGGCCGTTTCTTTCAGGGTGGTCTAAAATGAAAATCCAATCCACCACCAAGAACCACAAAAATCCACGACTCCCCGGAAGACAGCTAGGTATTCAAAAGTTACATCGCATATGACTGAAAGCTGAATACCTAATGACAGTAAATTTGATGAACTCTGCTGAATCCAAAATCTTCCTCATGGAACTGATTTCAAGATAGCTGGGAGCTTTGAACGAGACGCCAGGGGGCATTCCATCCACCACCACGCAGCCAGGGTTGACAGTGATTTTTCGATATGGGACTTTCACTGGGTACCCCATACCAATGGCTTCCCCTAATGAGAGAGAATCAAGAGTGTAACTTAAAGGAGGACAGCTCCAAGGTTACATATAATCCATGGACTAAATAAGAAGTTACATGCATGTAACCAGAAGCTGTGCCAAGGCGAACGCATGGCTTACTTGACAAACTATACAGTGACAGACAAAATCACCATAAAAAGCAACACCAAATTCAATGGAGACATATTTTTGCTGAATCACTTGGGCTCCAATCTATTATTTAAGTGGCTCTCAAATAGTGATAATTTCTATCCTTCTGGAACATGATTATGGATGAAATGGAACAAAACCTGAAACTGTGCATTGAGTTGGATTAACGAGAAGTACATGGCTGTAATCTTGTACAGTACATTCCGGTTTACTCAAGAGCAAGACGACCTTGGATGTAAGGCAACCCCCATTCTTTAAAAAGTATACATAAAAGCAGATGACCCCAGATTTAAGAAGACCCCGATTAAAAAAGAGCAGGCAACGGTATAGACAATTTTTTTAATTCTATGATGACTGATACACAGTACAATAAAGATAACCCAGAGGAGAGACATCAACCGCTTTCCCTCTTGTGTATCTCAGCCTCATCCTCATTTCCTGCACTTTCACTGTCATCCATTTCTTCATCCCCTTTTACTGCTTTAGTTTTCAACTTCTTCAAACTCAAACAGATCGTCTTCAGCACCCTCCTTGGAACTGAAAATACAGCATTCCTTAAAACCCTTAATGATAAATTCTGGAGTAACCCGATCTTCTAGTTTTAATCCACTGACAAAGTAGGATCACACGAGGCGTCTTTCGCTTCCCTATAGGGGCTGGCGCATGATTGCCTCCCTATGAGCCATTCTGCATACAAAGAGTTCAGGTGGCTTTTAAAAGGGCTCGCTCACCACTTCATCTCACGCCTCTGTGGTTGTGTGATGGGACTCCTCCGGGCTATGACCACCAGATCTACACAATTTCTCAGACTGTATAACTTCTGGTGTCAGATGCCCTCTGAGGAGAATGCGTCACTGGCTTCCGATTTCCGGCTTGGGCCGGGCAGAAGTGTTGCTGTTTGTTCTGTGAGGAATTCCTTCTTTTAATTGTTTTTAGCCGGTTTTATCTTCTGGTTATATTTTCAGGGTCGCTGGCTCGATCAGCTTTGTGTGAAGTAGCTGCCTCTGGCATCCTCAAATGTTTTTTTTATTTTTGTTGTGTTGTGTTTTGCTGGTTGAGCAGGGGGTCGGCGTCTGCAGCTTGCGCTCAGCTCCAGAGGAGAACGGTTTTGGCAGTTTTTAACTGATTTTGGCTTTTGTTTTGAGTAGCTCTTCTTTCTAGTCTTTTTTAAAAAGCCGCCACTTTCTTTACCCTTACAAGGAAGAAGCAAAAGCTCTCTCTGTGGCCTTATTTCAGGCATTCAGCTGGCTAGCTGAGAGGTTTACGGGCTTTTGGTTTTGGGTAGGGTGGGGCTGGGAGGGCAAGAGGATCGCTCTGTCTCGCCTCTTGCTATTTGTATTATTATATCACATACTTGTATAAATAGGGAGAACTGAGCAGGTTTTATATAGCTGGTTATTAGTTTCTGAGTGGTACAAGTTTTATATAAGAAGATATAACACCCTTTTTTCCTTTTAAGAGTATTTTAGTCTGTTTTAGCTGTTTTTAAGTGGTTTTAAGTGGACTTATTGTCCTGGTCCGATGGCCTCGGGACTCTGACCACAGCCTGCTGACGCCCCCCGACCGTCAGACTCACCCGGAGCACCCCAGACACAGACGAAGCCAGGACGACGCGGCACGACAGTCATCACCTGCGCATGGGAGGCACACCGCACTGGCTGGGCTCGCTCACAGAGCCGAGCGCCCTGAGGAGCCACACAAGGCGGCGGTGCCGCCACAAGCAACGGCAAGGAACAGCTGACAGCCGATGCCCACACCCAGAGTGCCCACGGGCCGACAGGACCGCCACTGGCCCAGCTCAAACCACGCCCTAGACCAGTGATGGCGAACCTTTTAGAGACCGAGTGCCCAAACTGCGACCCAAAACCCATTTATTTATCGCAAAGTGTCAACACGGCACTTTAACCTGAGTACTGAGGTTTTACTTTAGAAAAAACAACTACTACATTAAATTAAGATGATCCAAACAAAGTAAGGAAAGCAATCCCAAATGCTTTCATTTACTTAAAATTATTTGGCAGAGAATTCGACACTTTAATGATGGTCTGGGCCTGGCTGGGGCGGAAGGGGAAAGCGAAGGGGCCGGGGAGGAATAGAAACGTGCAAAAGTGAGGAGAGCGAGACTGAGCCTCCTGAGAGCACCTTGCATGAGGGGAGAGGGACCTACGGGGTGAAGCCAACCCCGTCCCCTACTCATCTGAGGCCCCAACGCTTCCCCGCCTTGAGCGCCCCGGCTCGCAGGACCGACGACCCCGCCCCAGAGGGACGCACCACAGCCACGGGAGGCACTGCACCCAGGGCGCAGGGGGAGCACGACACTTATACTGATTTTAAGCTGTATTATTTTAAAGCTATATTAAGCGGTGTTAAGTTGCATATTGATTAGATGCCCTTTGAATGCATCTAAGACAAGCATTCCCCATTTTCTTAAGATTGCCCCCGGTCTCTTATTCCAAACAACTTTCAGCCAATCCTTCATTAAGTCCATAGACATTCAACCTTGTTGTGACACCAAACAATTACTTCACTAGGCAGCTAAGTTCCTCTGACATTGCCTCGCACTTCAAAAATCAAATATGGTAGCAATTTTGTACCATCCATAAACACTGCCAACATTACTGTAATGTGCTTTCTTTCGCTCCCTGAAGATTTCACGGGGACAGGTTTTGTGCCTAGTTCTTTTACAGAGCAACTGGATGGCACATCAAGGGATACTGATGTCTCATTCTGCATCACCTGTTTACCTCAGGGCATAATTGTGATCATTATGTAATCAGTCACTTACTTCTGGAACGCAATGCATTTTTCAGTTTAGTCAGAAGAGAGCACCTGCTGGCAAAGTGAAGTTCTTCACAGCCAAAAACCATCATAACATATAATTTGTACACACCAACTGTTACTGGCCTTGCATTCTTGCCACAGGATACACTGTGCTCATGCAATTGGTAGAGCTTTCGCTTTAATGATTTCCACTGTAACTGGTTTCGCATCTCTCCTTTGAGCACGTACAAATCCAACGGATCTTCAACTTCCTGATAGCTTCCTCCTTCAAGTCTGCGGAACCATTTCCACATCAGGTTACCACATAAAAGTTTCTGCTTTGTTTCCATTGTCTCACGTTTGCCTGTCATGTTAACTATTTCCTCCCAGCATCACGATTGTTGGTTTCTTCGGCGTACCTTACCACCATGAGTTTTAAATCATGCATTGTAACTCCCCCTGGTATTTTTTTTTTTTTTTTTAAATCTATGAGCTGCAATTTCAGAATCAGAATTCAGGGAGATGGCAAAAAATAAAAATGGGACTCTATGCTGACATACAGGACACCACTCTGGGGGGAACAAAGGGGGGGCTCACATCCAGGTTGAGAAGGCAGTCCAGGATGTGAGACTGCCTGTTAACAGCATAACGCTACTGTCGTTCATGCTGTCAACTGAAGGTAGGACAATAAAGCAATGGCTGCATCAGCTGCAATGGCTGTTCTGCCCTTTTCACTGACCCCAGAGAGTAACGTCCGAACACTGAACTAGGGATGTGCATTTCGGGATCCC